GAGAATAAAGATGCTAAGAAAGACACTGTGATGAAATATAGGACGTTAAAAGAAATATCCTAAGCGCCATATGATAATTCCTCAAATTTGTTATCTTTCAATTTGTTAATGATTTAATGAAGATAAGATATCATAAAATAGAATCGAATGAAATAATAATATTAAGAGAAAATACATACATACATATACCCATTTAGATACACACACACACACACTTACACTTACACACACATACAAACACACACACACACACACACATACACATACACACTTACACTTACAATTACACACACACACACACACTTAAACACACACTTACACTTATACACACACACACTTACACTTACACTTACACTCACACACACACACACTTACACTTATACACACACACACTTACACTTACATTTACACTCACACAAATACACACACACACACACACACACACTTGCAACTGCGCATATCCACAGCCGCCCCACCCGCATCCACTAGGCATGAGTTCAAAATCCACACTACAACACAGGAGAAAGATCAGTCGGCTGCGAGGGAAGGGAATGGGTGCGTGGGGGATGGGGATTGGGAGGGGGGGAGGGGGGAAGGGGTGAGAAGGAAGGAGGGAGAAGGAGGGGTGGGGGTGGGGGGAGGTGCGTGGGCGAGGCTAGCTTTAGTGTCACAAGGACATACAGCTTTGGGCGAGCGTGAGGCGGTGCTGGCAGCAGGGCTTGAGAGAGACGGGGGTGGGGGGGAGGGGGTCAACAGCAGAAGAGCTGGAGCAAGAAAGAGCTATAAATGGGTTTGGTTCTCTCTTTCCCTCTCTTCCCCTCTCTCTCTCTCTCTCTCTCTCTCTCTCTCTCTCTCTCTCTCTCTCTCTCTCTCTCTCTCTCTCTCTCTCTTCTCGCTTTTTCTTCTGTTTTTCCCTTCTTTTTTCTTTTCTTTTCTGTTCTCTTATCTTTTTATTTTTTTTTCTCTTTGTTCTATTCTTCGTCTTTCTGTCTCGCTTATAGTCTCTTTCTTCTCTTCTTCGTCTTTCTATCTCGCTTTCTGTCTCTTTCTCTCTATCTTCCTTCCACCCTTCCCCCTTTTCTTTCTCTCTCCTCATCCCTCCCTCTTTCTCTTCTTCTCTCCCTCGCTCGTTCTTCTTCTTCTTCACTTCCTCTTTTCTCATCATCCTCTCCTTCAGTCCTTTCCTACCTCCATTCCGCCAATCTTCCCTCCCCCTCCCTCCTTCCCTTCTTCTTTCCCTCCCTAATTCCCAATCCCCGTCCCTCCATCCACCTATCCTTCTCTCCTTCCTTCCTTCTCTTCCTCCCTTACTCATCATCCCTCACCATCCACCTAACCCTCCCTCCCTTCTTCCTTCCCTCCCTCCCCACCATCCCCTATCCACCCATCCTTCCCTCCCTCCATTCTTCTCTCCCTCCCTCCCTCCCTCCCCGGTTCTTCCCTCCCTCATTCACTCAAACCCACCATCCCCTATCTACCTACCCCTCCCTCCCTCCTTCCCTCCCACCCTCCCTCCCTCCTTCCTTCCCTCCCTCTTTCCCCCCCTCCCTCCCTCCTTCCTTCCCTCCCTCCCTCCTTCCCATCCTCCCTCCCTCCTTCCCTCCCACCCTCCCTCCCTCCTTCCTTCCCTCCTTTCCCTCCCACCCTCCCTCCCTCCTTCCTTCCATCCCTCAATTAAACCTTTTTTTTCGGAAATTTTCCACCGGGGGGGTTAAAATTTTACCCCCGCGACACGCAAGTCAGCGGGGAATTCTGTTAGTACTTTATCGATCGCTTTTTGGCAGAGTTCCAAATTTCTGGCCCATATTCCTAGGTAACTTGTATTTCACTGACCTATTTTTACCACGATGCATTCTACTGACCTAGTTTCGTCTTGTTTGATATTTCTTTTCCTTTTTTTTCTTTTCTTTTTTTCTTCTTCTTATCGGTAGATGAAAAGATTTTTTTTTTTTTTTTTTTTTTTTTTTTTTTTTTTTTTTGGGGTTATTTTACCGAGGTTATGAGAATCGGTCTAACGGGGTTATTGTGTAACCGTACTGTGTCGTAACAATATTTCTGTACCTGTATTGGGTTATTGAATAAGAGCCTCTTTATTTGTTTCTCTCTCTTTTTTTTTCTTTCTGTCTCTGTCTGTCTGTGTTGGTTTGTCGGTCTCTCTCTCTCTCTCTCCGTCTCACTCTTATCCTCCCTCTCTCTCTCAATTTTCCTGTTCTCTCAGTTCTCTGTCTTACCCTCCCTCTCCCTCTCCTTTTATTCTGCCTCTTCCTCTCCCTATTTTTTTTTCTTCCTCTCTCTCTCTCTCTCTCTCGCTCTCTCTCTCTCTCTCTCTCTCTCTCATTCTCTCTCATTTCTATCCTCCCTCTCCTTCTCCTTCTACTCTCCCTACCCCTCTCCCTCTCTCTCATATTTTTTTTACCTCCCTCTCCCTCTCCTTCACACATTTTTTCTCCCTTTCTCCTCCCTATCCCTCTCACCCGTTTTTTCTCCCTCTCTCCCCTCCCTATCCCTCTCACCCGTTTTTTCTCCCTCTCTCTTCTCCCTATCCCTCTCACCCGTTTTTTTCTCCCTCTCTCCCCTCCCTATCCCACCCACATATTTTCTCTGCCCTCTCTCTACTCCCTCTCTCCTCCCTATCCCTCTCACCCGTTTTTTCTCCCTCTCTCTCCTCCTTATCCCTCTCACCCGTTTTTTTTCTCCCTCTCTCCTCCCTATCCATCTCACGTTTTTTCTCCCTCTCTCCTCCCTATCCATCTCACACGTTTTTTTTTTCTCTCTCTCTCCTCCCTATCCCTCTCACCCGTTTTTTCTCCCTCTCTCCTCCCTATCCTTCTCACAAATCTTTTCTCCCTCTCTCCTCCCTATCCCTCTCACACATCTTTCCTCTACCCTCTCTCTACTCCCTATCCCTCTCATCCGTTTTTTCTCCCTCTCTCTCCTCCCTATCCCTCTCACCCATTTTTTCTCCTTCTCTCCTCCCTATCCCTCTCACCCGTTTTTTTCTCCCTCTCTCTCCTCCCTATCCATCTCACACGTTTTTTTCTCCCTCTCTCTCCTCCCTATCCATCTCACACGTTTTTTTCCTCCCTCTCTCCACCTCCATTTGGTCCCATCCCCTCCTCTCTCACGGCGGGTTAAGGTGAGAACCCGAGGGAACGAAGACATCTAGCCTTTTCGTCTCGCGTTTTAGAAGTATTAGAACGTAAACCACGTCAGGTTCGGTAATGACAAAGGTCGCTGAGAGATTACGTAAGAATGCTAACACGGAGATACTATGTGAGGGTTTAGAGTATACGAAGAAAAAATAGGAGAATGGGGAAAAAAAAAATATATATATATACGTATACATATATGTCTAAGTATTTGAAAAGTGTATTCCAAGTATTAGAAAAAAAAGTCTTCAGAAAAATGTATTGTAAGTATTATACCGAGATATTTAGAGATAATGAAATGGGATTGAAAACAAGTAAATCTAAATATAATACTGAGATATTTAGAGGAACTGAAATTCAATTAAAGTATTTCTTAATATAACATCGAGATGAAAAGGGGTGACTTCTAAATATATTACCGAGATATCTAGAGGTTTTAACAATGAAGAGATAAAGTTTTAAAAAATGAGTTTTGAGTATAAAAAGAAAAAAATGGATCTCTCAATACAGTACCAAAATAGTTGAAGGTCTTGGTGATAAAAGAAAAAAACAACTAAATCTTACACAGAGATACAGAAATTTTGAGGATAGAAATGAAGAGGAAAAATAAAATGGATTTTTAAAATAAAATACTGACGTATTAAGAGGTTTTCGAATGAAAAAAAGACGTTTCTAAATATAGTAACACAAAAGTATAACAAAAGAAAAAAGAAACATACAATTTTAAATACATTATCGTATAGAAGTTAGAAAGACGAATCTTTGGTGATGATAAAAAGCAAGTTAGTGTCTTACTAGTTCCCTCTATCCCCTCCCCCTCCCCATCCCCCCTCCATCTCCACATCCCCCTTCACCCTCCACCCACACCACAGTCCTCCCTATCTTTCCCCACAACCACGTCCCTGCCCCTCCCCCCTCCATCTCCACATCCCCTTACCCCTCCACCCACACCAAAGCCCTCCCTATCTTTCCCCACAGCCAAGTCTCATCCCCACAGCGGCGTTACTACCACAGCAATACACAACCTCATCCTCGGCCTCACTGCACTGCACCAAAGCCGACGCAACGGGCCTACTCACTCAGCCTAAGAAATGACAAGAACACTTCTTTGGCGTCGAAGTCATGTCATTGAAGAGGACAGGTGCACAGAAAGGGGGGGGGGAGAAAGGGAAGGGGGGAGAGGGAAGGAAGGGAGGATAGAGAGAGGGGAAGGAGGAAGATAAAGGAGAAGGGAAGGAGAGAGGGAAGGAAAAAGAGGTAGGGAGAGGATAGGAGAGAGAGAGAGAGAGAGAGAGAGAGAGAGAGAGAGAGAGAGAGAGAGAGAGAGAGAGAGAGAGAAAGAGAGAGAGAGAGAGAGAAAGGTAGACAAAAATAGATAAACATACAGGCAGATAGAAGCAAATGAAAAGAGAAACAGATGAGGAAAGGGTAATAGAGAAATACAAAAGAGAGGAGTTAAGGGGAACGGGTGATAAATGAGTGTGAGGCAGAAGAAAGATAAAGAACGTGATTGTAAGAGGCAAAGCGTGTGTGTGTGTGTTCGTACGTTTGTTATTAGTTCACAGCTTTGTAGATTTGCACAGGATTTCTGCAATGGTATTTATTTCTGTGTGTGTGTGTGTGTGTGTGTGTGTGTGTGTGTGTGTGTGTGTGTGTGTGTGTGTGTGTGTGTGTGTGTGTGTGTGTGTGTGTGTTTGTGCGAGTGTGTGTGTGTGTGTGTGTGTGCGTACGGGTGTGTGTATATATGTTGTATATGTGTGTACATGTTTGTGCTTTTTACGTGTATGTATAGTATAAGTAAGTGCGCAAATACGACAAAATTTTATCTAAATATTTTAACATCACACTCACAAGCTCAGGAAAGACGATCACATCCACCGCCAGTACCTGCAAGAGAGAGAAGATAATTAGGAAGGAAAACTTGTCACCTCAAGTTTTCGACACACAGACAGACACACACACATACACACACACACACACACACACACACACACACACACACACACACACATATATATATATATATATATATATATATATATATATATATATATAGAGAGAGAGAGAGAGAGAGAGAGAGAAAGAAAGAAAGTGAGAATGGGAAATTAAAACAACCAATTACCAGAATTAGACCTCCCCCTCCCCCCTCCCCCTGGTGACCTTGTGTGACCTCGGAGGGAACGAGCGTCCGTACAGAGGGTCCCATGGCATCCCTCGCAGTGTACATGCATCACCTTTATCGACATATCGGTAGCGACATAAGGCTCAGCTGACCTTCGCTTAATAGCTCCTGCGCCCTTGGTGGTGGGAGGGGGGGAGGGGGAGGTGGAGGAGGGAGAGGGAGGGAGGAAGGGGGAGGGGGAGGGAGGGAGGGAGGAAGGGGGAGGGGGAGGGAGGGAGGGAGAGAGGGAGAGGGAGGGGGGAGGGAGGGAGAGGGAGGGGGGAGGGAGAGGGAGGAAAGGAGGAGGGGAGAAAACGGGTTGGGGAGGGGGGGGGGGTTAAGAGAGAGAGGGAAGCGAAGATAGAGGAGGAGAAAGTATACAAGAATGGGGGGGGAAAGGAATGTAAGGGAAGGTACCTAGTATGGAGGAGAAGAAGGGAGAGAGAGACAATGAAGAGGGGAAGGAGAGAGTAGGCTTATGGAAGAGGTGGGGAAGGGAGAATAGTGAAGAGGGAGAGAGAAAGAGAGAATATGGGTGCAGAGAGGAAGGTATCAGGCACGGGCGTTGAGTGGGGGGGGGTGGGGAAGGTGGCGGTGTGGGGTGGATTAGAGGGTTGGGGGGGGGGGGAGGAGGAAGTGAAGGTAAGCTCTTTAATGGTGACGATGAATAGAAGGTGATGATGGGAGCTGAGACGAAGGATGATGATGAATATGAAGTAATACGAAAAACAGAAAAGTGATGAGAGACGAAACGTATATAAATCCCAAGATTAAATGTCAAAACGAGTGGTGATTAAGTTATGCCAGCGAGTTAGTAAAGTACGTGGTGATGACGGTAATGACGTCGAACAGAAAACGATAATTAGGAAAGTCATTAACCAATAATGACGAAGAGACAACTGCTCTCGACCTGACGACCTACGACCAATAATTAATTTTGCAACGATGGCAGCAGTTTAGTTGTTCAATATTAAAAAAAGAGAGAGAAATTGGTAATGACAAGCCTAAATTTGCAGCCTGATAGAACTTGATGGAAGGGAAAAGGTGGTTGTGGGACGATAGTGATGACAGTTATCGATCTCAACTCTTGTGTTGTTGAAGACTCGGTAATGAAAGTCGCCTGCACTGTTATTGATGGTGCGAGCGGGGGTCTTATGGTGTCTATGGTACGTCGGGCGAGGCAAAGGGATGGTGTGTGTTTCTGGTGGATTCGTGAGGGCGCGTATATCTGCGATGGTTGCGAGTTTTGGAGAGGAATACTAGAGGTACGTACATATACTCATATCACACACACACACACACACATGCTCTCTCCGTCTCTGTCTCTGTCTCTCTCTCTCTCTCGATCTATCTATCTCTATCTCTCTCTTTCTTTCTCTCTCTCTATCCCTCCCTCTCCCTTTCCCTTTCCCTCTCCCCCTCTCTCTCTCCCTTCCCCCCTCTCTCTCCCTTCCCCCTCTCTCTTTTTCTATCTCTCTCCCTTCCCCCCTCTCTCTTTTTTTCTCTCTCTCCCTCTCTCTCTCTCTTTCTCTTTCCCTTTCTCTCTCTCTCTCTCTCTCTCTCTCTCTCTCTCTCTCTCTCCTCTCTCTCTCTCTCTCTCTCTCTCCCCCCTCTCTCTCTCTGTCTCTCTCTCTTTCACGCACGCACGCACGCAGGTACACACATATTCCAATAGCCAATAATCTGTAAATAACACTATACTGACAAACTCGCGGTTGATTGGACAACCCTGCACATTTATATGAAAAGAAAGCTATTAACTACTATGAACAGTAAAGTGCCGTAATTGGATAATGTTTATGATAAATGTACCAATGGTTTTATAAGAACCACAACCAAAATTAATAATTATATAAAATATAACAACAACAGTTATAATAATAAAAAATTCTAAGGTAAGACGACTAAAGCTGTAATATCTACAATAATGACGTTGATGATAACTGCAACAATAACAAAAACAATGATAATGATAATTATAACACTGACATTGCTGATGACATTGTAGATATAATCATATAATGCCATAAAATAAACAGAAGGCTATAACATACACACATACTTAAAGGGAGAGAGAGTGTGAAAGAGATAGAGATAGAGATAGATAGATAGATAGATAGATAGATAGATAGATAGATAGAGAGAGAGAGAGAGAGAGAGAGAGAGAAATGTTTTCGATAACATACAACC